GAAAGAGGTCGTGGACGGTTTCATGGAAGGGGGCCGCCGGGAAGAGAGATGTTAGAAGGAGGTCGCGGACGATTCCATGGAAGAGGTCCAATGGGAAGATTTCCTGGACGATTCCACGGAAGGTTCCCCCCTGGGAACGATACGCTAGGAGAAGGTCCTGAAGGGTTTGGCAGAAGAGGCATGCACGGAAGAGGCATGTTTGGAAGAGGCATGCATGGAAGAGGTCCAATGGGAAGATTCCGTGGACGATTCCACGGAAGATTCCCACCTGGGAATGATACACTAGAAGAAGGTCCTGAAGGATTTGGTAGAAGAGGCATGCACGGAAGAGGCATGTTCGGAAGAGGCATGCATGGAAGGGGTCGATTCCATGGTCGAGGAAGACCAGGCGAAGAAGGTTTTGGAGAAGGCCCTGAAAGCGAAAACGACCTTGATACCAGGCCCGGTTTTGAGCGCGGAAATGGAACAATGAGGTAAGAGTGATATTTCTGTTTGAATGCATAAGTTGACGCCATCGTTTATGTTTCAAAAAAATTCATATGCAACCTCCTTTGCAACTCTCATGATTTCTTTATCACTAAATCTCTCCAGTATAGTTTCAAATTTATTGCATTTTGTTGCATATCACTGTAACAAATCTTTCAGTAGTATTGATTGCCTGTAACGTGTGACTACGACTTTCGGTGTTTGATATGTTGCTGCCGTGCAGCCAAAAATGTGAATTATTTGAGAGCCCTAAAGCCGCTGACGAGCTGGAACAATCTATCAGCTGATGGCAATCAATGTGACAACATTTGTACGACTTTATTCTTCCAACGCATTTGTTTTTTCACAGGAAAACCGACCGGAACCAAAAGTAGGCCACGTAATAACAAAGTCTCAAGAAAAATCCGGTTCTAACTTTTTTGTGATGACTTTTAGTGACGCAGGCAATGCACAAGCGACCGGTTGCTGTTTATTTGCAAAGTGATAGCACTGCAGTTCGAAGACCTCTGCTTGTCCACTACCTTGTTTGTTTTGAAAAGCTTTCAACTCCCGTGTCACATTACAGTACTTTACATCACCACTTCTTCGCAAAACTCGAATGAATAGAATTTGTGGCACTTTTTGTTCAGCAAAATCATGTGCGAGAAAAATTTACTGCTATTTACTGCTGCCTCCTGTAAGGTGGTCACTGTAGCGTGCCATGATGTAGCAAAACTTTTCTTTGTTTGCGGGTCAAAGCTCAAATTCTCCGCCTTGAAAGTGTAAATCCACCTCATTTCCGAATCTGCAAACGGACTAGTAGCAACAGCATAAATAGAACGATGTTAGGGACCGTATGGGTCGTCTTCGAGGAGGATGGAGAAGAGGAGGACGTCTAGGAGGAGGAACTGGAGGAGAAGAAGCAGAAGGTGAAGGTGGAGAAGAAGAAGGAGCAGAAGATGAAGCAGGTGAAGCAGAGGCACCTACTGGCGGCGGAGGAGCCACTAGAGGAAGAATAGCCTCCAACCGTGGTGGTGGTGGCGGTGGTGGCGGTGGCAGCGTGGCGAGTAGCGATGATGATGCTGATAGTGGAGCAGGTTGGATGCAGATGTCTCTT